ATCATCTATCTATGTATCTATCTTATCTATATCTATATCTATCTCTCTATCTATCTCTCTATCTATCATCTATCATTTCTCTCTATCATCTATATCATCTATCTATCATCTATCTATGTATCTATCTTATCTATATCTATATCTATCTCTCTATCTATCTATCTATCTATCATCTATCATTTCTCTCTATCATCTATATCATCTATCTATCATCTATCTATGTATCTATCTTATCTATATCTATATCTATCTCTCTATCTATCTCTCTCTCTATCATCTATCATTTCTCTCTATCATCTATATCATCTATCTATCATCTATCTATGTATCTATCTTATCTATATCTATATCTATATCTATATCTATATCTATCTATCTATCTATCATCTATCATTTCTCTCTATCATCTATCATTTCTCTCTATCATCTATCTATCATCTATCTATCATCTATCTATCATCTATCTATCATCTATCTATCATCTATCATCTATCTATCATCTATCATCTATCTATCTATCTTATCTATATCTATCTATCTATCTTTATCTCTATCTATCATTTATCATCTATCTTTCATTTATCATCTATCTATCATCTATCTATATCTATCATCTATCTATCATCTATCTATCTATCTATCTATCATCTCTTTCTTTCTATCTTTCTATCTATCTATCTATATCATTATATCTATCTATCATCTATCTATCTCTCTATCTCTCTATCTCTCTCTCTCTCTCTCTATCTATCTATCTATCTTTCTATATCTATCTATCTATCTTTCTATATCTATCTATCTATCTATCTATCTATCTATCTATCTATCTATCTATCTATCTATCACTTACTTACTTACTTACTTACTTACTTACTTACTTACTTACTGTGGTGAAGGGCAAATGGCACTCTCCTTGTGAGTAAGCCCCTTCATCCAATCCTTTTCCCTTTGCATTGAGTCTACCCTTCCAGGGGGATCTGGAAATGCTTGGCTTAGCCGTGAATCTCCATTTCAGTTGGAAAAAAAAAAGGGGAAAAAAGTTGAATTCCTTACGTGCGCCTTCAGACATCCACATGCGAGGATCGCTAGGCCTTCCGAACTGCACCATTTACGTGGTAGAACCAGGATTTCTGGGTAAGAACGCTCAGCCTCCAGTGGCTCCATCTAGAACCGTGTTTCTCAACCTTGGTCATTTTAAGAGGGATGGACTTCAACTCCCAGAATTCCCCAGCCATCCTGCATTAAGAAAGGTGGACTTCAACTCCCAGAATCTCCAGCCGTCTTGTGTTAAGATGGACGGACTTCAACTCCCAGAATCCCCCAGCAGCATGCTAATTCTGCTCATTCTGGGATTTGAAGCCCCCTCATCTTAAAATGAGAAACCCTGGTCTAGAAGGCATTAATTACCTGTCCGTTCTCTGACCTGAAAGAAGACTTCCGGATAGAAAGGCGTCGTCTTCAGCCTCTCCTCGTTCCATCGTTGCAGGCTTCACGGTCCAGCCGGGGAACCGATGGGTCTTAGAAGTGAAGCGGGCATATACCATCACAGTCGAAGTTTTCGATAAATCCAGCACCAAGGTCTACCCCTCCGATGTGAGTAGATCCCGAGAGAAAACTTGGATACAGGTGGACCTCAAGTTACAACCCATTGTCCCCTCGCTCAGGATCTTGGTGCAGAAGTCGCTAAGCGAACGCCATGGTCATTAAACAAACACTGTAGTCCTTAAGTGAACCCAGGCCGAAGTTTTTTGCCGAAAACTGGAAGTCGTTACTAGTTTTCAGCAAAACCGTTGCAAAACACAGTCATGTAACCATAACTTTGTCACCATGGGGGGACCCGACTGTCAGAAGGTTGAATCCAGCTCCCCAGGTAGGTCCGTCGGAAATTCTCATGCTTGCTAAGTAGCCAGTCGTGACCCTGTTTAACTCATTCTAAGGAAGGCCATTCGGATTTACCTCTCCTCCAGCCCGGCTTGCTGCTAAATTTTCTCTTTTCCTGTTCAGGTCTTTTTCAATTTGTCAGTTTGTGGCAGCAATCACATCCAGAAAACACGCACTGATTCAGCAGGATTCATTAGCATATATTATAATATATCACAGGAAGTAAATATGCAAAGCAAAAGCAGGTTTTCCAATGTGGTAGTAAATACAAACAAACAAACAGGCAGAAGAGAGAACAGTTTCAGTTCAGAGCAGCAGACTAGTTGAGAGCTCCGCACAGACTCAAAGCTCCAGATCTAAGCTACGGCCAGGCTCCTTGCTGTCTCCTTGTTCCTCACACAGCAAATACTGTTCGAGTTTCCAAACTGACTTAGTTGCTGTGCCTATTCATTGGCTGACCTTGTTACCATGTCTTCAATGCTACTCTTGAACTCTTATGCACTGTGCTTTGTTCTGCCAACTCTCCATTCTTGATGATGATGATGATGATGATGATGATGATGATGATGATGATTATTATTGCCTTTCCAGAACCTCCGAATAACTCACCAGTTTCCCCAGGAATATTTTGAGGAGCTCACATCTTCCACAAATGGCTCCTATCACATCGTTCGGGTCCTGAAGGAAGGCGTGACAGTGATTAAAGCCATGTTGCTCTCTGTTCTTCTCCAGGTAGGAACCAAAGGCTCATCCCAGGTGAGGGATTTCCCCCCCCCCCCGCCTGGTTTCTTCACTTTGAAGTCATCCTTCAAATAACTTTAGAGGGCCAACTCAGTACATTTGATCTCCCAAGTGGACGTGGGATTTTAAAAAACAACAACAGCAGGGCATGGGGGGTTTGGAACAGGGTCAAACCTGGTGAATTTAGAATAACAGAGTTGGAAGGGACCTTGCAGGTCTTCTAGTCCAACCCCCTGCTTAGGCAGGAAACCCTACACCACTTCAGACAAATGGCTATCAAACATCTTCTTTAAAACTTCCAGTGTTGGNAGACAGACAGACAGACAGACAGACAGACAGACAGACAGACAGACAGACAATGTAGGTAGGTAGGTAGAGTGGATGGATGGATATTAAGATAAATAGAGAGATATGGATGGATGGGTGGATGAATGGATAGAAGATAGATAGATAGATAGATAGATAGATAGATAGATAGATAGATAGATAGATAATGTAAGTAGGTATGTAGAGCGGATAGATGGATATAAAGATAGATACACTGAGAAAGAGAGATGGATGGATGAATAGATGATGGATGGATGGATGGATGGATAGATAGATAGATAATGTAGGTATGTAGATAGAGCGGATGGATGGATATTAAGATAAATAGAGAGATATGGATGAATGGGTGGATGAATGGATAGAAGATAGATAGATAGATAGATAGATAGATAGATAGATAGATAGATAGATAGATAGATAGATAGATAGATAGATAGATAGATAATGTAGGTAGGTAGAGTGGATGGATGGATATTAAGATAAATAGATATATGGATGGATGGATGGATAGATAGAGATAGAGATAATAGATAGATAATAGATAGATCGATAGATAGATGATAGATAGATAGATAATGTAAGTAGGTAGATAGAACGGATAGATGGATATAAAGATAGATACAGAGAGAAAGAGAGAAATGGATGGATGGACATACATTCAATTGATTGCAGGAGCTGTGCCTTTTGTCTTCCTTGAAACCTGGAATTGTTGCTTTTTTTCCCTTCTTCTCCAGGATTTTAAAATACTCAGAGGCGGAATATTCCCCGCCCGACTACATCGTCCAGATGGAAAAGGAGGAGAAACAGGGTGACAGGATTTTGGTCTCGGGAATAAAAACCGGGGCGGCCGTCATCAAGGTCCGAATCGAGGAGCCTGTTTACAAGGTGGGTAAGGCAGAGGAGGGCCCTGGGGGGGGGCGGTGGGGGCGGGGGTGTCAGTGGCAAGGCAGGGCCAGCCAGGGACGGAACCCCTTGGTTAAATCGAGGCTGCGCTTGACATCTCTGCCCATTTCCCCCGAACTGAATGGTGGGGGCTGAGAAGCCCCATCTCAAGTCTCTGCTTTGTTCCTCTCCNAGATGTTCTGTAGGACATTTTGGAAGTTCAGATGTTCTGTGGGACACGTTAGAAGTTCAAACGTTCTGTGGGACACTTAGAAGTTCAGACCGTCTTCTGTAGGATACATTGAAACCTCAGAGATTCTGTAGGACACGTTGGAAGTTCAGACGATGCTCTGCCAGCCAAATCAGAAGTTCATCCGACCATGTTCTTCAGAACCTCTTCTGATCCCTGAAATCAAGATTTATTTATCTGGGGCTGCTGGCCACGTATTCATGCTGATCCTAGAAACCACGATACCCCACGCACGAACCATCGCCATTAGAGTTGCCACAGGATTACAGTTTGATTAAAACAACTACGTTGCATTCAAGGCAGCTGTGACTTTACCCTCCCAGTCCGAACTTACGGTGGCTTTTCCAGGTAGTTCCCGTCCTGCCTGGTTCTTTGGCCCTGGAGGTCTACGATCTCTGCCTCGCATTCTTAGGACCGGCGACGGCTTACCTGCGAGTATCAAACATGTATGAACTGGAGGTGGATTTGATTGACAAGGTGAGGAAGACGTCGGAAGAGCCAGGCCTGGCCATCGCTTAAGCCACGATCCGTTCTATCGAAAGAAACAGCCAATCCAGGCTTGTCTCGCCAATGAACACCCACCCACCCACCCACACACACACACCGGGGTCAGATCCTTCTTAATTCCGCTGACCTTTCGCACGTGGTCCTCGACTTACGGCGGATCCCTTCATGTTCTACGTCCACCACCTTCTATTTGCAGGCAGCCCTCACTTTACGACCCCGATTGAGCCAGATGTTTATGTCGTCAAGTCCCCCAAAAAAATTGTTCCGTGGATTTTGTCCCATTTTATAACGGCTTTTCCTTGCCGCGCTTCTTAAGCGAATCCCCGCCGTTGTTAAAATTAGTCACACGGTTGTTGAGCGAATCTGGCTTCCCCCCTTGAACTCGGCGCGCGTCAGTAGGTGGCCAAAGGAAGCCTGCGCACCGTAATAAATACGAAGCTCTCCGAACGTAAATCACGCAGTCGCGGGGGTTGGCGCCACAGTCGTAAGTGTGGGGAAACCGCCCTCGGTCACTCGTCGTAACTTTGAATGTCACGAAATGAACTCTAGTTCAACATCGTAAAATCGAACCGGTTAGGGACTAACTTTACAGTAAGGCAAAGAATGGAAATGTTTCTTTCTTCCCCCCAGGTTGAGATTGGCAAATCGGTGCTGGTCTCGGTGCGAGTGCTGGGCTCCCACCGTTCGGCTTTCCGCAGCAAATATTTCGCCTACATGCATCTCCAGCTGAAAGCTGCGTCTCCAATCGTGAGCCTGACGTAAGTTTTCCCCTTTTGCAGGACCTGGTCACCCTCCTCGCCTCCAGCCAGCCCCAAGGACATGTTGTGGCCCATCAGCAGAGCTGGCGACAGATTCAGACAGTGAGGAGGTTGGGNAACTTTGGAGGTCTTCTAGTCCAACCTCCTGCTCAGGAAGGGAGGGAGAAAGGAAGGATGGATGGAAAGAAGGAAGGAAGGAAGGAAGGAAAGAAGAAAGAAAAGGAAAAGGACGGAAGGGAAGAATGATGGAAGGAAGGGAAGGAAGGAAGGATAATGAGTTGGCAGGAACTTTGGAGGTCTTCTAGTCCAACCTCCTGCTCAGGAAGGGAGGGAGGGAGAAGGAAGGAAGGAAGGAAGGAAGGAAGGAAGGAAGGAAGGAAGGAAGGAAGGAAGGAAGGAAGGAAGGAGAGAAAAAAAAGAGAGCTGCTTTAAAAATATCTTTAAAAATTCTGCCCGCAGAGCGGCTTGGAAGATTATTTTGTCTCGCCCATCAGCCACGAGCAAGAAATGAAGATCTACCTCCCCATCACGCTGACCCCTTCCTTCTTAACCTTCCCCTACCATTCTCTGGATCTCTTGTACCGCTATAAAGTCCAGGTCAGCCGCGGCATTTGACTCCGTTTAGAGGGGAGGGGGCGTCCTGGTGTCTGTGTGTGTCTGTGTGTCTCGTGCTTCCTCTGAAGCCTGACCGGCCTTTCTGCAGGTGGAGGGGGGCAGCGGCAACTTCACCTGGACCTCCTCCAACCAGTCGGTGGCCACCGTCACCGTCAAAGGCGTCGTGGCCGCGGGACTCACCGAGGGGCAAAGCGCGGTGCAGGCCAGAGACGTGCAGAATCCTTTCCATTTCGGAGAGATCCAGGCAAGTGCGCCGAAGAGCCGGCTCGTTCCCCTGGCAAGGAAGCCGGGAAAGGTCACCACTCAGCGATGCACCTCGTAGCTTAGAAGTAGGCCTCATCGACAGGTTTAGGGTAGACGGCTCAGAACTGAATAAGCTAAACGAAATGGTGGGATTTGGGCAAAAATAAATAAATAACTGGAAACGAATCGGATATGAACAAAGCTTTAGCTGGCTGAGGAACTCTGAGAGTTGAAGTCCACAAATCTTAAAGTTGCCAAGGTTGGAGACCACTGGTGTAGAAGACTCCTGTGGGAGGATGAGAGGCCTTCCAGGTGCTTTCAAACGCCTTCCCCCTCCCAGGTGTCTGTGCTGAAGCTGTCCAAGATGGAGCTCCTTCCCTTCCACGCCGACGCCGAGATCGGCCAGAACTTGGAGGTGCCGCTGGCCATGTACCACGTGGAGAAGAAGACCGGGGCGGCCACCGCCTTCACCGACTGCTCGCTCCTGGCCTTGGACGTCACCGCGGACAAGCAAGGGGTATTCGCCTTGAGCGAAGAAGGTAAAAGAACTCGCCCCGGGCTAACATCAGACCAGCTTTCCTGGTTTGCAAGCGCCTTCACAGGCAAGGAATTAGACCCCACGAGAGTCTCCCATTAAATATTGTGTAGGATTTCGTGCAAAGGTTTTCTGGAAAAAAACCATAACGACCGAGCCATTTATAGGTTTACTTTGATCGCGCCTTCTATTATTATTATTATTATTATTATTATTATTATTATTATTATTATTATTATTATTATTATTATTATTATTATTTTACAAATAACTCAAGCTGGAGAACGTTATCTAATAGCTCCTCCCTCCCTCCTGTTTCCCCCCCCCCTATTAGAACAACAAGGGGTGTGTGTGTGTGTGGCTGAGAGGGAGGGAAAGGCCCCAAATCACCCAGCTGGCTTCCATGCCCAAGGCGGAACTAGAATTCCCAGTCTCCTGGTGATTGTCCCACAGTCACCCAGCCGGCTTTCAGACCTGAGGCGGAACTAGAGTTCCCAGTCCCCTGATGATTGTCCCAAAGTCACCCAGCTGGCTTTTGTGCCTAAGGAGGAACTAGAATTCCCAGTCTCCTGGCAATTGTCCTACAGTCATCCAGCTGGCTTTCATTCCTAAAGAGGAACTAGAATTCCCAGTCTTCTGGTGATTCTCCCAAAGTCACCCAGATGGCTTTTGTGCCTAAGGAGGAACTAGAATTCACAGTCTCCTGGTGGTTGGGCCGAAGTCACCCAGATACCTTTCATGCCTAAGGAGGAGCTAGAACTTTCTGTCTCCTGGTGATTGTCCCAAAGTCACCCAGCCGGCTTTCATGCCCAAGGCGGGACTAGAACTCCCACTTTCTATAGCCCGGAGCCAGGGGGATCCCACTTTCCATAGCCCGGAGCCAGGGGGATCGATAGCTACAGGAGATTGGGGAAGGGGTTGGATTATGGTCCTCGTTGTCCCCTGTCTCCCCCCCACCCAAAACTGGAACCCGAAATGGCCCCGATCTGCGTTTGCAGGGAAGCAGAAAGCGGGTGCCACCTTCTGCTCCACCATCCAGCTCACGGCCAAGTCCCTAGGCCACACGCTCGTCACGGCCAGCGCCACCGTCTTCGAGGAGTACTTCGAAACCAGCGCCACCTTCGCAGCCTACGAGCCCCTCAAGGTGAGGAGGAGACCTCGGCCAGGCCTGGGTCCAAAGTGGGAAGCTCGTGTGTGTGTTTGTGCGTGCATCTACTCCCGCTCCCAAACTTCTTCCGGCAATTTCTTTTCCCCTTTTCCTCCAGGCCGTCAACCCTGTCCAGTTGGCCTTGGTGACCTGGCATTCCATGAAGGAGATGGTCTTTGAGGGAGGGCCCGGTCCCTGGGTTTTAGAGCCATCCCGTTTCTTCCTGGAGCTGAAAACGGACGACGAGAAGAAATTCCAGGTGGCGGAGGTCCGGCTGCCGGCTCGGAGGAAGCAGAACCAGTACATTTACCGAGTCACCTGCCTGGAATTGGGGGAACAGGTAAAAAGACTAGAAGACAGAACATCTGAACTTCCCAAATGTCCTACAAAACATCGGGACTTTCAGTGTGTCCCACAGAACATCTGAACTTCCAAANCCTCTCTGCCTCTGACACAGAGCCCTCATCCGAGCCTTCCCCAGACTCCAGGACTGGCCCATGTCCCTCCCCAACCCTCCTCACTGTCCAAATCTGCCGCCAGTTTTGCTGGCTGCTGGCGGGCCACAGCACCAATCTGCTTTCTCTCAGATTCTCTTTTAAATCAAAGATTAAACGTTCCAAGATGAGATTCGAGACGATTAAGGCAAGGTTTGTCAGGTGGACTTCACCCTGTTTTTTTGCTGGCTGGCAGAAACGTCGTGGTTGTTGTTTTTTTCCCCCCAGTGACCGGCCACTTGCTCCGTTGTGACATTATCGTGGATCTGATCGAGCAGGTTGAAATCGTCTCCCGGACTCGGGAGATCTACGTGGAAGATTCTCCCTTGGAGCTGAGCGTCAGAGCGTTAGATGCCGAAGGTGCTTAATCCAGAGATTTGTCATCCAAACCCTTTCTGTTATCCACCTTTCCCTGTCGTCTGAATCGGGCAGAGCCCGAGAAATGTATCTTTTCAGTCATGTCTTTCTCTCTCTCTCTCTCTGGAAGACCATTTTACCTTCATTGTGGTTCCTTGGGTACCAGGAGGGGAAACTCTACTCCACCTTTGTGGCGGAATGCAGGGGTTTTTCTTAAAAATCCAGCCGCTCGGGACTCGGAATACCGGACGGTCATCCCACCTACGATGGCCACGAGCCTTTCCTCGTCTTCCTCTCTCTACAGGGAACACCTTCAGCAGCTTGGAAGGCCTGGAGTTTGAGTGGAGCGTTGCCAAGGACGACGAGATGGAAAACCTGGAGCTCTCCAAGAAAATAAGGTCCGGCGAGATCCTGAGCTTTGAGGGGAAAACGATTCTCTGATATAATGGGGAGGAGCCCAAAAGCAGAGACAGGTTTAAAAAAGTCTTAGTAATAGATAGTTTAAAAAAACCTAATTTCGTTGTATTTATCTTGTACAGTGACAATAAAGACTATACTATAGAAAAAATATTAATTAAAAAAAAAGAGACATACCTTTTGTTACGAGATGCCTATGATCCTGGGAACAAAATTCCTCTTAAACCAGGATAAATTTGAGTCCCATTTGTGAGCAAACATGTTGGAGGTGGATGGATGGATGGATAGATGATAGATAGANTCTGAACTTCCAAACATGTCCTACAGAACATATTTCGACTCTGTTGTTCTCTTATTCCATCTTCACGTTTCCTGGGTTGAGGAATGCCAACACGGGCTCTCGTTATCGTGCTCGAACGCTTAATTCTGATTGCTTCTCCTTTCAGCTGCGCGTAGCCCTCTGCCCTGCAGCCCAGCTGCCGGGTCTCAGTCTGGCTACCCACCCTCCTACCCTTTCTTTTTTTTTTGCTCCCCAAAGGTCTTCACCTTCCAAGTGGGCAACCACCCCGGAGTGCTCAATCCCAGCCCGGCTGTGGAGATGGTGCAACTCAACTTCATCTGTGCCCACCCAGCCAGCATGGCCGTTACCCCTGTGTACAAGCTGGCCGCTGGTGCCCCGCCGTGCCCCTTGCCTCAGCACCACAAGCAGCTGGTACGTGTGGGTGGGGAAGCCCCCTTTGCAGGATGCTGCTTGGAGGCGGTTTCTCGTCTGGGGGAGGGGGAAAGGTGTGGGCCTTTGAAGGAACGGCCGCTTAACTTTTCAAATTTAATTTTCAAGTTGGTTTCGTTGGCCGAGAAAAATCATAAGAGTTCAACTTAATGCAATGAAACGTTAAGCGATTTGGCTAGGAGAAGGTCAGCTGGAGAAGCTGAGCGGAATGTGGTTGGCCGAATTCTTCCGCCCCACCAAAAATCAAAGCGCCTTGTAGGTTGGCGAGATCCGTCAAGTCAAAAACGTGGACTTTTGGCCTGAGCTAAATATCGCCGGCAAAAATTGGGGTGTTCGTTTGTAGCAACTTACCAATCGGTGGAATTGGGTTAAAGAAAATTACCGTACATCCATCCTGATGAATCACCTCTGAGACTTTTCCTTGTAATCCTCGAGTTAAGACACTTCAAGATGCCTTTTGCGAAATTAACAGTCCTCTTGGTTTCAGAGGAAGGTGGGACTCGTTGCCTTAAAAGAGACTATTCGTAGCTTCGTAGGGTTGAATTGTGGGGTCTCTTGTGAGCTTGATGGTTTTCTGTTTAACTGTTTATTAAATTTATAGGCCGCCCAATCCCGGAGGACTCCGGGCGTCTTACAGAAACAGAAATTAAAAGAAATTAAAAACAGATAAAACACGACAAATTTAAAAAGACACAACATACACCCAATCTAAGCGGGGCTGGACCCCAATCCAGAGGTCAACAGCCCCAACGTTCTTGCAGACGTTTCATGGCCCAACTAGGTAACATCATCAGGGGACGAAAGGAGTGGGTTTGCTAGGAGGAGGAACGTTTCATGACCCAACTAGGGAACAATATCAGTGCTGGAAGGGAGAGGGGTTTGTGGAATGGAGGAGAAAGGGACTTCTGGTTTTCTTGCAGATGTTTCATTACCCAACTAGGAACGATATCGGTTTGGTAAGCAGAGCACACCAAGGACTCCACAACCAATACTTTTCTCCATGTGACTCTAAAATGAAAGGGGTTTTGGGGTTTTTTTTTTTAATGCTTTCAGGTCCCCGTGTCCAGTTTGAGGAACACCATTCTGGAGCTAGCTTTGTTTGACCAACACCGGAGAAAGTTTGACAACTTTTCTTCTCTGATCCTGGAGTGGACCTCGGCCAACGAAAGCTTGGCTCGCTTCACTCACCCGAGATCCATGCAGATGGTGGACAAGGATGATGGGACTGGACAGACTAGACTCCACGGTGCGCCTCTCCATTTTCTCTCCCAGTAAAAAATACACGTCCCTCAGAGGACCTGTGTCTTCTCCAGATAGCGAAGTCTTCTTCTGACATCTCTTTTTTCCTCCCCTCCTCATGTCTTGTCCTTTGGGCTCCTCCCAGGACACCAGCTGCTAGAGGTCCATCAGATCAAAGGGACAGTCCTGATTGCCGTCAACTTTGTGAAATATTCCGAGAGAGGCAGCCCGAAAGTAAGTGTGAGGGGAAAGTTGTGTAGAAGATGGTGGGGGGGACATGTAAGTTTTGAGAAGGGAAAACTCAACTAGGGTGCGATAGACCACTCTGAAATATCTAAAGAGCATTGCACAGGAGAAGATCAGGACCTGTTGCGTGTCATCCCAGAAGGCAAGATGGAGAATAATGGGCAGTTGGGCGACGCCAGAAGTTTGGTTCTCCAAAATAGGGTCCATTTCAACCCTAGCTTCCATAACTTCTCTGTGGATCCTGAAGAAGTACCATATTTTTCAGACGCTCCAAAGTATAAGACGCTCCTTTGGGGAGCAATTTGCCTCCTTACAGCAAACAGCCCGTTTCGGTTTCAGCACAGCCTGATTACCGCAAGCAGCTGATCGTTGGGCCTCCCGACAGTCATCTGTTTCAGGCTGCGGGAATTGCCATAACCTATTGACACCTTCGAGCGCGCCCCATTTTCTGCCTCCGCATCCCGTTTTCAGCCTCCACATGCCCCATTTTCCGCCCGTTCCAGGCAGCGGGGATCAGAATGGGTGGGAAATGGGGTGCACGGAGGCGGCCATAGGCAACGGCAATCCCTGCAGCCTGAAACAGCTGATGGTCGGGAGGCGACAGTCAGCTGCTTGTGCTAATCAGGCTGTGCTGAAGCAGAAACAGGCTGTTTGCTGTTTGCTGCAAGGAGGCAAATTGCTGGGAGGCAGAGGGAGATTTCTTTTCCCTTGTGCTGATCAAGCTAAACTGAAACAGGCTATTTGCTGTTTGCTGCAAGGAGGCAAATTGCTGGGAAGCAGAGAGGCAGATTTCTTTTCCCTTGTGCTGATCAAGCTAAACTGAAACAGGCTATTTGCTGTTTGCTGCAAGGAGGCAAATGGCTGGGAGGCAGAGGCCAAAGTGTGGGGGCCAGCGAGTGGGCGGGGCTGCATTCCGTGTATAAGATGCACCCAAATTTTCACCCTCTTTTGAGGGGCAGAGGGAAGTGTATCTTATACTCCGAAAAACATGGTATTCCTTTTGAAGGGAAGGATCTTCTGAGGGAATCCGATGGGTCCCGGAGATTTAAAATCCAAAGAATCAACCTTGTTGGTGTAGAAGGAACAGTAGCCTCCATGTGGGCAGAACCTCCTGCCTAGACACTCGTTGTTGATTTTGTCGTGCATTCAGGAGGTCTCTAACTCTCCCGCTTCTGCAGCCGTGGAGCTCTTGCTGGTTGAGGATGTGACGGTGATCCCCGATAACGTCACCATGTACAACCATCCCAATGTAAAGGTAGGACCGAGGGC